CATAGAGAATCTATGGTGTATTGTCAAGAGGAAAATGAGAAACAAGAGACCAAAAAATGCAGATGAGCTGAAGGCCACTGTCAAAGAAACCTGGGCTTCCATACCACCTCAGCAGTGCCACAAACTGATCACCTCCATGCCACGCCGAATTGAGGCAGCAATTAAAGCAAAAGGAGCCCCTACTAAGTATTTAGTACATGTACAGTAAATGAACATACTTTCCAGAAGGCCAACAATTCACTAAAAATGTTTTTTTTATTGGTCTTATGAAGTATTCTAATTTGTTGAGATAGTGAATTGGTGGGTTTTTGTTAAATGTGAGCCACAATCATCACAATTAAAAGAACCAAAGACTTAAACTACTTCAGTCTGTGTGCATTGAATTTATTTAATACACGAGTTTCACAATTTGAGTTGAATTACTGAAATAAATTAACTTTTCCATGACATTCTAATTTATTGAGATGCACCTGTATGTGGATTATGATTCAATGTTTTTAACCATTCACATTTTTTTTATTTAGTTTAATTTCTTTCCTTTTTTTAAATACAAAATTAGCTATAGTGCTCAGATTTCTACAAACTACAACCAATTTACCAAATAACTGCTAAAGCAGTTACAATGTGATTGACAGCATTCAAATTATTCAGTGCACTTTTTGAAAAGATGTGATAAAATAAAGAAATATTTACCATATTAAAAAGCAGTGGTGGACTCTCAGGGCCAGCTGTTTTAATGGCATAACAGGTATATAAATAAATTTGTACTCATTTAACTTTATTTGCATTCTACTACTGATGTGAAATGTCAGTAACCTCGTATACAATACGTTGGTGTTAACATAATGGGCTATAATGTATGATGACTATAAGGTGCCCTGCTTGTTAACAAATTGATGGCATGGACTTAAAACGCATATTCCACCATGCATAATACAATATTTGAACATGTGTCACAAAAACAGGAATTTGTGGTTATGTGTATTACATATACTGTGAACACAGAAAATGTTTCTACTTATTTTTTGATAGATATCACTGAAATAGGTTCCCTAAGATGCCACATGTCTCTATACACTCTGTAAACAGCTAAAAGAATCTGGCCATTCACTGGATGCTATTTTTAACTAATCAGATTTTGAGGCGCCATCCGTCTGACGATTATTTTGATTTGCTGAGACGTCTTCAGAGGGCAGGTTTTGCAGAGAGGGTTAGGGACTTGCAAAACCGCTAACTGCATATTACAACAGTAAAATAAAGCCATATGTGACCCTGGAGCACAAAACCAGTCTTAAGTCGCTGGGGTATATTTGTAGCAATAGCCAAAAATATATTGTATCTGTCAAAATTATAGATTTTTCTTTTTTGCCAAAAATCATTAGGATATTAAATAAAGATCATGTTCCATGAATATAGTAAATTTCCTACTGTAAATACAGGTGCATCTCAATAAATTAGGACGTAGTGGAAAAGTTTATTTCAGTAATTCAACTCAAATTGTGAAAGTCGTGTATTAAATAAATTCAATGCACACAGACTGAAGTAGTTT